AACGCTTCGGGTCTATCGGGTATTCCTCGCCAATGCCGCTCTTGCTGATCTCATTCTTTCCATCGCAATGACGTTTTCTCAAATACGGTAAGTCATCGCTTGGTATATGATTTTTCAACCAAAAATATCAGACATTCTCCGATTCAGACTGTTTGTATGGCTTCCCCATAGTTCTTCATAATTCAAGTGTACTAATTTCCATTACGATGCCCCACGCAGTTTCACTAACTCCAGCTTCCTCGCGATTACTTTTCTCTACGTTTCTATAATCCTATCTAAAGGATTAATTGTACATTATGCAACTCATGGAAATGGTGTCTCTCGCCACTTACTACTAGGTTCCCTCCGCACCAAAAGGATTAGATGTCATACAACCAAGCGGTTCATGACTTTTGAGAACACTTGGGCAAATCTGAGATTGGAGCACATCATGCCCCTTGTCGTTAGATTGTTTACATAGATCAAAAACCAGGGCAATGTTGATGTAATAGATTAAAAACTACTACTTCCAGGAAAAATGAGTCAGCGCTAGACGTAGAGCACCATCAAGCTACACCAGACTGGAAGGCAGAATATTTAACAGCGCTTTGCTTTTAATTGACCATAACGCAATTTATGCCCGCCGAATGTCGTTTGAATTTTTTCTAATCTACCTCGAATGACCAGAAATCGGGTCGGTAGCCGCGCTTTTCAATGGATTTATGATCAGAGGTACGCACAGGGCTTGTGTATGCTTCGATTACTGGTTCCCGTTGGGAAAAATTTTGAAAAATATTGAAAATTGCAAGTCATGCAAAAAATACCACGTTCTTCGATTAGCTCGTTAACGAAAAGGTAATTTTAATCAAATCCACCTGAACAATCTAATGGCATGAGGTCAGAGTCAACTGCCCCTTTTCTAAATTGGATTTGACGGCTTATTTGTAAATTTCAAAATTGTATCATTCCGTGGAATCAGCATAGGGTTTTCGAAAGAACTATTTTGTTCTGGTGGTTTTTTATGGAATTTCTCTGGGAGAGATTTTGCAGTATTCAGTAGTTTCCAAAAATTCACTGCCTGTCGCGATCTCAGCTTATAAACCATGTACATATTTGTGGTCCCCACATCTTTCAGCAGATGACCTTCAAAGCTATTTGGCTCCCAATTACAATTATTGTGGCAATGATGCTAGAGTAGCTAAAGAAGCATGAGGTGGGCTTGGTGAGAACGAGTTAGAGGAAGCCACTCGTTTTTCGCGCTCTCTCGTCTCTCTCTACTGAAATACTACCAAACTGGCATCGTATCGCTGAGACAGCTCAGGTTTTAGCCTTGGGGGTGAAGCAGTTCCTCCCCGATCTGGGCTTGGCCCTGAAACACAAAACATCATCCACCTTATTGAGAATATTTCTCGTCCCATTCGACGCTGATCCAACCTTCCATCATCAATTGCTGTGCTCTATCCATTAGCTAGCGAAAGGGGCAGGTACAATGGAGCGATTCTCCCAACTCCATTCTCATTGATGGGCGTCATATGAAAAGGCTTATTAGGCGGTCATGCTCGTTTTGAAATTCGACCAACGTAGCAGTCAACCTTGCAAGAGGCTTATCTAATCTGCATAATCAGAACCAGCTGTGCTGCAGGACAGCTGCACTATGAACAGTTCTCTTTATGTATAATTAGTTCAGTTTATTTTTGGTTTGGTTTCACTAGAGTTTTCTTAAGAGCTTTCCTTCCCTAGCCGATTCACAAGGTCTTTTTCAAAATTGCTGGAGCGAATTCCCTCCTTTTCACTTTCGTTTGCATATCGAGGAAAAACGCCCCAATCAAAGTCACTGCACGTAGATTCCTTGAAGCTACATAAAAACGGCTCCGACGGGCTACAGTACCCACCACGACTGTTCGAAAAAAGAACGCAAAAAATCCGTTCTTTTCCTCGCATTACATACTGCGATGGGACTCATTCCCTGAAATATCCATCTTAGCGTTAACATGTCTGCTAATGAAGAGTCTGTTGTCTGACGGGAGAACCTAGTTGCTAACAAAAGAAAAGTTTCAGAATAGGAAATGACTGCCAAGAATCTCAGGCAGCTAAGATATCAATACATCTGGTTCAGTCTGCTAACCCTTTCAGAAAAACACCAGTCATCCCTTTGACTGCTGCTGGTGGACATGTACTGTCCTACCCGTGGTCAAATGATTCTGCCGCAATTTTAAGGATTTCTCGAGACAGAAGGGGAAGGCATTCGAAAGTTGAGCTGTGCGGAATAAAAAATTATAATTCTTGCTCGGAAAACAATTTTCACACGGTATAGGGATGTTATCAATGCAAGCCTATTGCGGTCGCTGCTAGTCAGTGTCTGTAGTTCCCAAACGGAAATCTGAGCACCCATAACCTATTTGAATGACGTTAAATATGTATTTATAAATCACATTAACTGATGTTCTTCAAACGTTTTCTCAAAGGAGGGTGGTGTGATGACGAGATTGGCCGCTACTGCGCGTACGGTCCGCGAGTCACATCCCAGGTCAAATCCCGCGTAGCTTAACCAAGTTTCCTTAGTCTAATGGTGGCCAGATGAAGTGGGAGTGACCACACAGACACATTGGTATCTTAGTTTCTAAAAAGTCCTAGTCTAATCTTTAACAAAGGGAAATGTGCCAAAAACCCAACTCAGCTTCCTTTGTGGCGAAAGAATCATTCTTAGTTTTTCTATTCCAACGATATTGTTTTCTTCGTTTCATTAACTGCCTGAATTGCTTTGTTTGGTTGACTGTCTGAAAACCAAAGCAGATATACTGGCTTCTGATATGTTTTCTTTCATTACAGCGGTCCAAGCAGCGATAGCATCATGCTCCCCCTCACTATAACAAGCCCGCCAGAATTACTTTTTCGCTTAATTGCTTCAATGCTTGCACATATGCAACAGATTCAGACGGGTTTCCTTCTGTTAGTAACAGTTTCAAAAGCAAGAGCATCCAAAGTACAACTAACACGTTGACGACATCGCGCGTTTTGGGTTTTTGCACCGCGTGGGACCAGAGCGATTTTGCGAGCGCCGCCGCCGCACACCAAATCCATGGATTTTGAGCTGTAAATACGCAATACTTAGATGCGATGAAGTGTTTTCAATAATGTTCGATCTGTCTAACTTATCGGGAGTTACAGTAATGGAAGTTTGACCGAAATGACGTGTTAAGGCCATGAAAAGGCAAATTTTACTTACTTTCCCTTTAGTGGTTCCAAAATTAATTTGGACGTGGTTGTTTCAGTAAAAACACATATCTTTCCATACGAATAGGTTTGTATTCGCTCTGCCAAACTAAATAATAGTTGACCTTTCTGTAAGCCATGTGGTTTTCAAGTATGCTGATGTATG